CATGGTTTAGATATGAAGTGTCTCCCAAAAGTGTGTGCATTGAAGGGTTGTTCCCTAGGTGGTGGGCTACCTCAGGGGCTCTGGAAATTTCAGCAGATGAGGCCTAGCTGAAGGAAGTAGCTCCTGGGAGCTTGTCCTTGGTGGCCGGATGTTTCCACCACCCCCTTCCTGTCTCCTGCGAGGTGAGATGAGTATCCTCTTCCAGAGCAGGAATGAAGTTAAACAGCTGGCTAAGATTTAACACCTCAGCAGGGCAGACGTGGTGCAAATCGATGCTCTAGGTTGCACCATTTTCTCCCTGGGCTGCTTTCTGAAGGACAGGTCCCCTGAACCTGGGAGCCTGGTTTCCTCACTGTGGGCAACTGCTAACAGGTTTGCCTGGCTCCCTGCCTGCTCCCCCCCCCCCACTGTTTGTTTCAGAAGAAGTTATTTCACATTAAAACAAGAAAGGCGTTGTGAAAGATCAGATGGGAGAACTAAGCTGGAGGGTGCGCTTCAAGGGGGCAGACGGAAGAGCAGGGCCGTTACATTTGAAAGGATGTATTCGCCCATTCTTTCTATCATTTATATCTGGTCCCATTTTAAAAGGATTTTGTGGTAGGACTTGGAAGAAACATATTTGAAGCTAAGTTTAACAAGACATCAATTTGCATAAAAGCCAAGCTTGGAGTAGCAGATGTATAGAAACGTGAAATTATTGTCACATGCTTTGGAGTCTATAAGATGTTTCTCCCTGATGTTATTACTGAGGGTCTCTGAGATAATTTTAATGAAAAGTAATGACAAGTTGTGAGAGATACCTGCTTAAATAAAATAAGAATCATGGCTCTGTGGATATGGGTATAATATCTACAATCATGAAGTGGATTTTTAATAAAAACTACTGTTAAGGAAACCATTTTCCTGGTATAAACACTAATACATCTGGGAGTCCTGGAGTGAGATCCTCATGACCTGGATCTGGGTTGCAGAGACACTTCTAGGAGTGCAGGGCCCCTTTACAGAAGAGCACTCCATTCTTAGGGAATAAGGATCCAGTTTTATTCCAGGCCCCTCAGAACGTACTGTGCCTCACCCCGGCACTGTGGTGACAGGCTTTGGAGAAGAGGAGAAAATGAAGCAGAAGACAATATTCTGCCTCTCAAATGTCAGAAAAATGTTTGACAGAAAAGCAGTTTGAACATGGAATTTCTGATGTGTGCACTGGGGAATATTCCGGAACTGCTAGTTGTGTTTGAAACCGATGGTGCCTTAGATCAACTATGCATGTCCCACGGTGGACTCGCAATGGGTATTCCTACAGACAAGCAACCTCTCCCTGTACTAGGCAGATGGGCATTTGCTAGCTACAGACGTAAAGAGAAGCTGTACCTAGGAAACAGCAGGGGACGAGCAGCTTTGCTTTACAGCCCAGAACCCCAGGAGGACTGTCGTGGTGGCTGAATCAGTCCTGCCTCCCAAGTTTGGTACCCAAGAACTGGGTTTTCTCTTGGGCTTCACCAGTGCCCTTCATTTTCACACAAGGATACAAAATGTTGCTTAGATTTAAGTTGTAGGTTTTTATCGTATGACGAGAGCATATCACATTGTGGATGCATCTATTCCTCCATGCTTAAGCAAGACAGAAGAAGTGTGAGCAGGCCCAATCTCCATGCATCAAATTCAGATACAAATGTTTATAAGGGAGAAAAGCTACAGAGAGGCAAGCTTCATAATACAATGATGGGAGTACTAACCGTGAGCATTTTGTAGGTTTGTGTGAGGAGTACTGAGAAAATATTTGTGAGACTCAGGCTTCAGAATATTAACCTAGAGTTTTTGAACAGCCACTCTGTATCCTCCCAACAGATCTCTACTTCTGGCCCTAGCTCCTTCAAGTTGAGCTAGGATCGAAATACAAGAATACAAGGAAGCTTACAGTTTCCTTTTGAGCCATAATTGAACGACATTATTGTGGAGTCTTTCTATAAATACACAGATATTTGATGCTGCCATATGGTAAAAATATTAATTAGGAGTAAATAATGTTTTAAGTATTTTTATAACATAGGAATGCTATTACCAAAACAATTGCTTGAACAGTATGAAACTAAATTACTGGAACACAGTTTTAAATTTCCTCTTGCTTAAGTGTCAACGTGGCCTTCTCCTCTTCAGATGGCTTGAGATGGACCACAAACATAGAATTGGGTCGTATGACCCAAAGACAGCTAGAGAGCTCCTGAGAACTCTACAGTGCCCTGAGTAGTGAATACACGATGCAGGTTCAACAGCAATCAGTGACTACATTCAACGAAGGTTACTCTAAATACCAGGCTTGTCTGTGGCAGGGGCTGCCACACACTTGGCTTTTTGTTTGATATTGTTTTCCTGTACGTACAATGAGCAGACCGTGTTGCAAAATTTTCATGCTGCGTTCCGCTAAATTACCAACTTATTTACATGGCTGTCAGGAACTAACTTCAAATGTTGACTCCTTCCACGCATGTGAGAAGTACGGAACTTCAAAGTTAGCAACAAAAGAAAATGAGATTCATGTACTTTCAGGGAAATCAGACGGCCAGGGAGCAAACCCACAGCCGCGGCCTGCCAATGTTTGCAAAGACTTGATACAGATCTGTGCAGGGTAAACATTCCTTTGAGAGCATCCATGCCTCTGAGGCTAAGTGAAGAACAGTTTTTAAGAGATACATTGACTCTCATATCTACTTTTAATCAGTACTTACCATCCAAGTCACTGAAAATTATTAATGACAAATTACTAAGTATCAGCAACTAAGAGCAGAAAAAATATCATTTTTGTGTTTTTTCCCCCTTGAAATGAAAGCTCAGATGTTAAAAGGCTCTACACTGCCTACCACATTTGAACAGCGTTTAAAACACTCACCTCCAATCAATTTATAAATAGTGGGCTACAAAGTTTTGCGGGGAGAATCAAAACCTTCTAATGTATTCAAGGAGTAGTAAAGAAATCTATACAGTTTAATTACTGGAAACGGACAGAAGCATTTCGGGGTTCCTCCACAGAGTGGGTGGGCCATACATGTGAGGAGTAATAAGAGGAATTGCTGATTAGACTGTTTCCAGAGGGACAGTGGGAGAAGGGTCGGGCTACACATTGTAGATCTCCAAACTGAAGGAGATAGTCCCAATCAGGGACTCCTTGGTCCGCCTTCAACCCACATCCTCATTCCAGGGCTGAGGAGACATTTGCTCCTGGGGTCACTCACCATTCATGTTCTTGAAGATGTTCAGGATTGGGAGGATCTGACGGTAGTAGGGTACCAAGGCTTCACCCACCATCTCGGCCGACACAACCAGATGCTGGAGGACTTTGAGTGTGACACAGATGACCTGTCGGTTTCGGAGGTTCAGAGCATCTGTGTGGTAGAAAAGCAACAATAGAAAATGTTGTGTGTGAATTCTATGACATTGAGGCGGCACTGTCTCATAGCTGCATTTAATTAAGCTGTGTTCTACCGGGGGCCAAGAGGGCCTTATCACTACAGCTCCGGCTGAGGTGGTGCAGCCCCTGCTGAGGATCGCATCTTATGTGGTCACTTGTGGGCTCCTCACCAACTCTGACAACATTTTTTTCTTTCCTTTCCTTTTTCCTTTGCTTTCTTCTTTCTTTCTTTCCTTCTTTTCTTCTTCTCCTTCTCCTCCCCTCTTCTCTTCCCCTCTCCTCCCCCCTCCTTGTCCTCCTCTTTCTCCTCTTCTTCTTCTTCACCTTCTCCTTCTTCTTCTTTTCCAAATCAGGGTTTCTCTTGTAACAGCCCTGTCTGTTTTGGAACTCGCTCTGTAGCCCAGGCTGGCCTCAAACATAGAGACCCGCCTGCCTCTGCCTCACAAGTGCTGGATTAAAGGTGTGCACCACCATGCCTATCTACTTTTTGTGTTTCCATCCAGAGAAGAGGCTGGTGGTTTGAGCAGGAAGAGAAGGACAGGTGGCATAGAGCATTAAAGGCCACCTAGTGTCAGTGGCGCAGATGATTGCACAGGCCACCAGCTACCAACAGCTGAGCTTTTGTGCAATGATCTCCCTCAGCTAAGAATCCCGCTGTTCTCTTTCTCCCCATCCCTTTCTCTCTGTGTGTTTATGTACACATGCATGTCAGAGGTCAACAGACTTCTTCATCACTTGATTTACACTTTGCTTCTTTGAGGCAGCGTCACTCACAGACTGTGGCCAGCAAGTCCCAGGAATTGTCCATCGATGAGATTATAAGCATATACTGCCATGTCTAGCTTTTTACGTGCCTGGCTATGGATCCAAACTTAAATCTTTATGCTCATGTGGCAAGCAGTTTATCAATTGGGCCATCTTTCCAGCCCTGATTCCTGCTGTTCTCAAAGCTATTATCATGAAACAACCTTTATTTTAGGAGATAGAACTTGGCAAGTGTACATGTGGAGAAACTATAGATTGGTTACCAACACAGGTAGTATTTTTGGTAGAAGTGAACATAAAATGTACATAGACGCTTAAGAAGGCAGGGAGGAAATACAGAAAACAAGCATTGCCCTACAAAGAGTCAACCATAATAAAGTGAGACCAAAGGAACACACACAAGCCTAAAGAACAGTTCTGAGCACAAAGCAACAAGCTACTGCAGAGCAAGACAAACGGCTGTTAAATAACCTGGAGGTCCATCTCTGCAGGGGCTGAAAGGTGCTCTTTCTCCAGCGTGGAACCAGGACATTGATGTTAGCGTGTGAGCTCATTGATTCTTTCTTGGTCCTGGTTTCCTTAATCACAGCAGCCTGTCATTTGCTTTCTAAGATGACGGTCTTAAAATGGTTGAGATGAAGAGCCACACAAAGCATCTATTATGGGGCCAGAGGGTTGACAGGACGTGGAGCCCCTAACTACTCTAAGATATAAGCTAAAGGCTCCTGTTTCTAAGATCTTCCACCTCCTAACAAAAAAGGATTGACTACGACCTTAAAGCAAGGGCTAAAGCAGCCGAGCTCTCCAGGAGATGGCCGGTAACCTGGGAGGAGTCCTCACATTGTCCCTGAGTTCAGCTCACACTTCCAGCAGCTCTGGTATTGCAAACACATCTCATTCAGTATGAACTTTTTCTTTACTCTGTGATGTGACCTGGCTGGTTCCCTGTTACTCAAGGTCAAAACCAATTCTCATCTCTCATATTCCCTATGTTGGAAAATTGTCTGTTTCTGTATCAGAGTATGCTTGAATTTATGTCTTCTGTTCCATGAGTACCTCCCTTCCTCTGGTCCTGAGTCTCTCCTCTTGGCCTCTCTCTCCTTGGATCCTGGATCTTCACCCACATCTTCTTTCCTCGGTCTGGTTCTTGGTGTCTGTTCTCACCTTTCCTCCTCTGGTTCTGTTTCCATCCTCAAAATTTCTCAGACCCCAGTCACCATCATCACCTTCTCCCTTGATGGTCCCGGTCAACATCATCACCTTCTCCCCTGATGGTCCCGGGTCAACATCATCACCTTCTCTCTCTTAGTTCTAGGTCTTCACCCTTTGCCCCTCTCCCTCTGGCTCTAGGTCCTCATTTGCACCTCCCTCTCTCTGATTTTGGGTCCTCTTCCTCATATTTTCCTCTCTGGTCCTGAGTGTCCATTTTCACTTGTTCATATCCAACCGCCCACTCCAAGAACTTAATGTCGCCCTCTGCTCTTCTTTCTCAGAGGAAATGGAAGATCAGCCAGATCCAGGGAGATAATCAGGGTAAGTTTAAACTCAACCCAATCCTCAGTGAAAAGTCCAAGAGTTGAAAGCACCGTTTGTTTAGCGGTTTCAGAGATTTCCTGTGGAAACACTGGGAAGTTTTTAACAATAAAGTTGAGGTCAGCTTTATCTTCTCCAGGAACATTGGGGGATGGAGAATGAACACGCTTCAGAGCAGCCCCACAACTTCTGGTCCCATCAAGGCTACCTCCCTGGTCGGATTGAAAGTAAACATGAATGTAATGAACGGGGGCGCTCAGCCTTCGCTCCAGGAGCCCACCTAAATATAACTGCAGGACGTGGTGGCGTGATGGCCCGTCATCACAGCTTTTACACACTTTGCAGGCCACGCTGAATCTTCTGAAAAACAACTAAAAATAGAATGCTGCAATTTCCTCTGCAAGCTGTGGCGACAAGACAGTCAGAGCAGAGTGTTTGAGCACCGGTGGGAAGGAGGCTGAGAGCGGAGCGGGCAGTGGGCAGCGAGCCTGTTTCTGGTCTTATCCAAACTACCCTGCATGGAGCACTTCTTTGTGCCAGGAATGGAACCTAGCACTTTATACATCTTAGATTACTAATCCTCCTTGGTCAACGTTTGCTGAGAGCATATTATGTGTTCCTCATAGTTTTAGGAATTGGAAGTATTGAAATGAACAAGACACAGATGCTAACGTCCGCTTGGGGATTACAGTCTAGTATGGCAACAGATAGTAAGCATACACCACAAGTATGACGACTGTTCTTAACAAGACAAGGTTAGTAAGCAGCCAATCATAATGATACTCAGCCTAGTTTCAGGATCATGGAACTCTCTTAGACACAAGGACAAACCACAGAGAACAATAGACGCTATTTGGTTATAGAATTTTCATGCAGGGAAGTACACTAGAAACACAGACCCCTCCCTGGGGAAGGGAGCCTGCTCCAGCTGGGCAGATGAGAGTGCACTAAGGTCATGGGGAGATAGATTAGCTGGTCTCATAACTGTGAATGTGCTCTTCCCTCTTCTTGAGCACCTTTTGGTGAAAAGCATGAGTATGTAGGTATGCATCCATGGAGGACCTGAGCGATGTAACCACCAGACACTTGGGAGTCTGGGTTTCTGCCTTTTCTGCCCATTCTTCTCTCTCTCCTATCACAAGCCTACAAAGCCCTCAGAGCTATGCTGAACTTTCCATTTTGTGGACTTTTTTCCAGGAAAACGCAATGACAAAACATTGCTATCAAAGGCAGAAAATACTGTGAGAGTCCTTGAGGAGATGAATGTCTGAAGGTGGTAGTTTTGGTGGCTGTAGCGGCTCCTGAATGTGCTTTTCCATTAGATATTCATCCCAAAGATTGTATGTGCCCATCTATAACAAATGTCAGGGAAGAGACTTGACATGTAGAACATACTGATGTGTGTGTGTATACAAATGTACCTTAATTTTCTAGCTGGGATTATATGTATAGCTACCTGGTCACTCAGGGGTTATTAATGTCCTCTCTCATCTCAAGAGAATATCAGACATAGCTTTAAGGCGATAATTGCATTGCAACCTTGATTGAGTTAGCATGGTTGTGATAAATTTTATTGCAATGTTATTGACAATGACTGGCAGCCACAGTGCTTGCCCTGTTACTCCGAATGGAGCATGAAAAGGAATGCTGTGTCCTTTCTGGGAAGCAAGAACATTTCTTCACAGTAGCTGTGAGAGAAAACTGGAGTGCTGTATAAAAATATCCTTAATTTCATTAAGAGGAATTTTTTCTTTATCTTTTTTTTGTATATATATACACATGTGTGCATATAGATGCATGTGCACATACATACATGTGTGTGTAGTGGCCAGAGGTCAACCTTGGGTGTCATTATTCATGAGTGGTCACCTAATGCTTTGAGACATTATCTCTTATAGGTCTGGAGCTCACTGAGTAGATTAGGCTGTCTGGTGAGCAAGCTTCAGAGATCTGCCTGCCTCAACCTCCCCAGTGCTGGGATTACTAGTGTATCAGCACTAGACTTTTCATATGGGTTCTGGGACCAAACTTAGGTTTTCAAGCTGTCTTCATCCCAGCCCAAACTGCGCCATTGTCCACACATCCATGAATGAACCATCGTGCCCCAGCCCCAAGAAGGATTGAGTTTTTATACTGCCCATTTCCATTTTAGTTCATGTGATTTTGTTTCTCATTTTTGAGGAACTGATTCATAATATCAAGTCTTTTTGTCTTACTTTCCCAGTGGAATTACAAAATATGATTTGGGGATGGTGGAGTAGGAAACAGAGCTCTTTGCCTTTGAGAAAGTGTGTTAACAGATATAAAGGGAACGTGATTCTGGGGCCTGAATGAGGGGAGATGTGTTTATCCCTCTGCAGCTGTTGGCAAGTTGTAAGTGAGGACTTTGAACTCAAGATTCAAGGTTTTGAAAGGTCTAACATGAAGAGTCTACTGACATTATAGAACCTTTCTATTCAGGAAATTGGATTTCTATTGTACAGCTTTCTGCCTTCAAGTATAATCAACATGATAGAGCTTACAGATATAGAGAAATTGCTGAAGAATAAGGAAAAAATAATTTGAAGTCAAAGTGGTAAAATTTATTCATCTTAGATGGTTATAAGCTCCACATACAATTTTCTTAGGCCTAAAATCCATTACCACTATGAATTTTGTGAAGTGAGAACATTTCCTACTATTAGATACGATTTGCTACTGCAGAACCAGAAAACACAGAAACATTTCTGTGGATCATCTCTGCTTAGAGTCAAACACACCCAACAAAATGAAAGCCAAACATGAAGTCTAAAAATACTTTTGAAATATGCCATAAGGTTAATATCTTTAATATACAAATAGCTGTCATAGTCCAGTAAAAGAATCCCATTAGAATGGTCTAATAATGTGAGCCAATAATACAGGTATTAACATAGACAAATGAGCAGCTAATATTCTACAATGTTCAAACTCATTGGTAATCAAAATAAGTTTGGGATAGCATATTAGCAAAAATAGTCATTGAAATATTATTAGTTGGATCAGAAGCACGTTTGGGAAAAGAGAGATGTTAACAGATGCTGTGGCCCGAACAGATGCAGCAGTTCTCCTCAGAGTCATACAAATGCACATGATACTGAGCCCAGCAATTCACCTCTTGGGCATTAGCCTAAGTATGAAACTGTGTACTCAGTTATGAAAGGATGCTAAAACCAGTGCTGCTTATGATTGGAAACAACCAAAACCTTCCATGGTCATCAAACTGTTAAAGAAGAAAACAGTGTATCCACAGGGTGGAGAATTATTTTAGTACTTATATTTGTTTATTCTAAGTTTTGTACTGTTTTAGAACCATTAATGCAATTTAGTACTTGGTAAAAGTGGACTTTCATCGTATTGAGTATTTCGTTTTTCTTAGAAGTGATACTGTTTGTTTGAACAGATAAAAGCATCAGTCAGTCTCTGAAATGCTCTCAGAGAGGTGGTCACCAGCATGCTCGATTTTGTACTCTCAAGGCTCTGTGAGGACCTGTGTCACCCACACACTCCTTTCATTCTTGTAGCTGAAGCTGGGTCTGGGTATCCCTCATACTGAGTGCCTGGTACAGCGGCTGGCATCTGGATGTGAGCTTACCTCCTGTGTGCTGTCATTGGCAAGGCAGGGCTCTTCTCTCAGTGCACCCTGCCCCTGTGTACAGAGATGTCTACTCAGTTCATCTTGAAGGAGTGGGATGTCATACGATGCCCAAGGAAGGAGTTAGCCTTGCTACTGCTTTCAGAGTGAAATCAGATGATAACCTTTTGTATCAAGTGGGCATTGCTGCTAAGAGGCACTGGTACATTCCCTACTTTTATTGAGAAAGGGTCACTAAATTTGTCATAGCTTTTAGAAGGTGGGACTCATGGCCAGGAAGGACATGGTATATACAGGTCTTATGCAAAGTAGGGAATTCAGAGATGTACATGAAATAAAAAGTAGGTGGACACAACAATTTCGGAGATACAGGAGCCCCATCCTTCTCAATGAAGGGCAGGAAATGCACACACTGCTAAGCCTGAGAGCAAATTCTGGTACAACTTTAGGAGTGATTATTCGGGGAAGTAATTTGGAAGCATGTAGAAAAACGACAGTGTGTGCCTGCTCTAGCTGGTGTAAGACCCAGAGATGGAAGGCTGGGACATACATAGCTTGGTTGACAGTGTGCTTGGCATGCACGAGTTCCAGGTTTCCATCCCCAGCACCACATCAACAGGGTGAGATGGTGCATTGGAGGTGGAGACAGGAATCCTCCTCAACTACACAAGTCCAGACCAGCCTGGGACACACAAGACACTGCCTTTAAAGACAAACAAAACCAAGTAAACAATAATATCAGCAACCCCCTAACAGTTAGAAGAGGGTTTGAGAACTAGAATTTCCTCTTTTTCTTGCTATTCCTTTGTGAATAACTGAATCCCAGTAGTAGCAAGCGTTGATATCTTGTATTAACCTTTCCTTGATGGGGTACTTCAGAGGTCTGCATTGGACCGACTTCAGTCCATTGAAATTCTCTTTTGTAGAGTCAGTGAATCTTTCTGAATCAAAACTTATCATCTATTTTGGTGATTGAAAGTTGAGAATCTGCAAAGACAAGGAAACTAAGGAATACACACACAAGACATACACACAGACACACAGAAACACAGAAACACACACACACACACACACACACTATTTACCAATTTGTTTTGGCACAGTAATGTTTTACCGACATAATCCTGTGACTCCTCGCACCTCTGGACAGTGGTATTTCTAGTCTCCTGGGGGGTTGAAGGAATTAGATGGTCTAACACTACAGAGCTAGTTAATGGTAAGTGGGATTTCTGCCTGAGTCTCAAGTCCGCACCCCTAACAGCTGCACTTCTTTTTCTTCCAGCGTGCCCTCAGTCAGGAGGTACTGCCCCATGCCCTGGTGCACACCGGGGCTAGACATTGAGGAGATCGTTAAAAATGCCAGTGAACTAACTCCTGCGCTGACTAAGCAGGAAGCCTCCACCACGCTGGGTCCTGGGCACCAGTGGCTTATTGGGTTTTTTTTTTGTTTGTTTGTTTTTTAATTTATCCTTTCATTTTTGGCTGCAGCTTCCCCTCCCTCCTCTCCTCCCAGTCCCCCCTCCCCCCTCCGTCCCCACCTCCTCCTCTGTTTCTGGTCAGGTAAAAGCAGGCCTCCCATGGACATCAACAAAGCATGGCACATCAAGTTGTAGTGAGACTAAGCACCTCCCCATGTGTTAAGGCTGGACAAGGTGACCCAGTATGAGGAGTAGGGTTCCAAAAGCCAGCGAAAGAGTCAGAGACAGCCTCTGCTCCCACTGTTAGGAGCCCCACAGGAGGACCAAGCTACACAACTGTAACATACACATAGTGTGCCTAGGTCAGTCCTGCAGGCTCCCTGGTTGTCGGTCCAGTCTCTGTGAGCCCCTGTGAACCCAGTTTAGCTGATTCTGTCTGTTTTCTTGTGCTGTCCTTGACTCAGTGGCTTATTCTTAAGGAATTCTTAAAGGAATAAATCACAGTGATGGAGTCAAAAAGCTCATGGCAGCTTTCAGAAAGCAAGGTTTGTTGTTCTGAGCACACAGTTTCAGAAACTTAGACAAATGTTTGTGCTTTTCCGCTGTCAGACTTTATTGGCATTTTAATACTTTCACAAGGTGCACTGGTTTCACTGGGAGCAGCACCAACTCTCAGACCACACAGGAAATACATGCAGAGGTTATGGAATGGCTGCAAAGGCCAAAGAAGGTCACCTCAGAGGTCAGGGACTCCCACAGAGGCCCTACCAAGAGGCAGAGTCCCTGAGGGAACAAGGTAAATAACCCTGCTGGAGGTCTGCTGGAGAGGCTGCTCCAGGGTCAAGGTATGAGGTCACAGTTTTAACTGAGTCTTGGGGTGTAGTCAGGCTATAGAACTGAGCTGCAGGATCATCGAGCTCTTAGAAGCAACGGGCAAGACCGGGTCCAGATGAATATACAGGTGGACAGACAGGTGATTGGTCCAGATGGGTGGACAAACAGACAGAAGAAAGGCAGCCAGTTGAGTGGGAAATCAAGCTGAGCTGAAGCCAATGAGATGGCTGGGAGTTCTCTGACTGTGGGTTCCATGGATGCACACACTAGGTGGTCAGGTGATGGATCTGTCGAAGTCATCACCACACCTGTGTTAGGTGTCCAGGTGAAGATCATCAACCCTTTGCTTGCTCTGGTGTGCTCAGTAAGTTTCCAGGCCCCGTTTTCTAGATATAATTTCAAGATATTCATGTGATCAGCTCATAGAGTCCACATTTTCTTCAATTAAACAGCATAGCACATGTCTATCCTTAGGGATGCATTACTTAACAGGCGGTACCTTGTGGGTTATTTGTGTGTCCACCAAGGTGCAAGAATCATCCTGTGTCCTGAGCACCAGTGGCTTGTTTTTAAGGAGTAAGTCATAGTGACCAAGGAATTTTCACTCCAAGTGAAGTCAAATGCTGTAAAATGGAGTCTTTTCAGGGAAGGCATTGGAGAACACTTTTTTTTTTCACAGTATGATATAACTTCAAGAAGGTCACAGCCTGAATCAACATGCACTTTGGAATGGTGTCATGGCTGACTGCCTGCATGAGGCTTTAGCCCAGGTGACTTAAAGATGTTGACACTAAGGCTGAGGACGATGGTGACAACATTTATCCCACACATGTCACATGATCTGTTGGAAGCTTTAAATGCACTAGTTCATTCTACCACAGACATGATCCCATATGTTGGGAGCCATTATTGGCCCCATTGTGAAAATAAGGCACCGTGCCTCGGTACTGAGCGTGGACATTAGCTTACTGGAGACAGGGAAGGACAGTAATGGTGATGGATCCTGCCTGCAGCTGCCCTGCCCCTGGATGGTGTTGGCACTGTCTCTCTGGCTCTGTCATGACTTCCTGGCATGGTCAGCTGCCATCTTTTGCTCTCACTTCTGCCATTGCTATGCTTTTATGTTGGATTTCCGATGTCCGTGTTCACACAGGCCTCGGCCTGATTTTGATTCCTCCTCACAGGTCCAGAGGATCTTCAGTTCCGGAAGGTGACCAAGTGCTGAGGTTGTCATTTAGCCTCTGCCTTGGGTTGACACCACTGTGCCTTCAACAGGACACTACTCCCATAAGTGGATTCACAGGGCGACGCAGGGTTCCACGTTCTGGCTCTGTTTGGATGGAAGGTGAGGACAGCAAGGCAATGCCAGGTTAAGTGTGAGGAAACTGGGTGGAGATAAGGCAGAGTGTGTGACATGTGTCAGACGGTGAGATTCCATAGCCCGTCTGCTTGAGAGTGCACATGCATGACCGCTTTCCCTGAACTCAACTTATCATAGCCCTCTGGGATTCCTATTACTTTCCTCCTCTAGGAAAGATGAGAACTTCCCTCCTGACCTTGTTGCCATAGAGTGTTGGGTCAGCACTAGAACATGGGTCTCAGG